GGGGGGAAGAAGGGGGAGGGAGGCAAGGCACTAGGGAGAAATACCGAAGGGGCTGGGGAGGAGGAGGGGGATTCAGGGGACAACTGGAAATGACACACAGCCCTTCCCAGCCCCTTCCCTGTAAAAGATGGGAGGACTAAGGAAAGACAGAATAGTGATGTTAGGAAGACAAGTGGGAAAAGAGAAAGGGAGGTGGTAATGAGACAGCCCTTCCTGAGCACCCCAGTCCCAGTATGGCAGGACCCACTAATTTCAGGGGTTCTTACTGCCTTCAAAACACCTCCCTTCCCCTTCTCCACTGCTCCCAGCCAGATTCCTTTCCCCCAACTCTCTCCCAAATCCGGAGTGCTCAGACTCCAAGTGTACCTGGCTATTTTAGAGAAGGCAGAGAGAAGGGTGGTTTCTATCCTGAACTGCAAGAGGCAGAGACTCCTGCATCCTGCTACCTCTTTCCTCAAGAAACAGTCCGGATTATTTACTTACAGTGCAGATGTCCCCATCCTCCTCTGTTCAGAGGTATTGGAGAAGCTGAGGGGGTTTTTAGAAGCCTGACCAGCAGGACATCTCCCCTTCCATTTGACCCAATGACTCAAGAAGGGATCCCCTCGATACCCTTCCCCACTGTCTTTTAGTCTCCTCACCCCACCCCACCCCCACACACACACAGACACACACACTTCTGCTTCCAGGGCAGAAAGGAGTGAATTGGTTTTAGTTCTTTCCTTTGCCTCCACACCCATAACCTGGACTCAGAGATCCAAGACATACCATTTGGTGACACTGGTGACCATCCCTGCTCCAGGGATGAGAGGGTGTGTGGTGGTATGGGGATGTACATCCTGAATATGTCTATTCCAGGTAAGGCCTTAGGATATTCTGGACAAAGCACTGACCAGGAGCACTGATATGGGTTCTCAGTTCTAATAAGCTGTTGGCTCATGGTCAAGTTCTCTGTCACTGTGAACCTCAGGTTTCCTGTCTGGAAAATGGGGTGTTTGAACTAGATGCTATATCAGGTCCCTTTCAGATCTGATAGTGTCTGATTCTGCTTTACTAAATGTGGAGGTTTCAGAATACTGAGATATATTATATGGAGAAGGCTGGAAGGCTGTGTCCCAAGAGATCTCACAAGCAACACTTGCCAACCACTGATAGGAATGTGCGCCCGGGCTTTGCAAGATTCAAAGCTGGATCTTTTAAGTATTTGTTTGTGACGACAAAGGTTACTATTTACTAAAGTATAAAGCGATAATGCATAAATATCTATTTACCACAAAAATTTAACCATCACTCATACTGAAAACTCATGTTTATATGTCCAATACATTCTCTCCCTGAAGCCAAGTCAGCATATCAATGTATAAATGCACAGTGACATAACTGGAGGATTTGTATCTTTAATGGCATCTGGCCATTCCCGATAAGGAGTCATGCCAATGGGTCCAGAAAACTCTTCTTGGCAACAATTCTCTACCCCCACCTCTAAGCTACCGGCAGCCTTGCCAATGCTCCTGGACTTCTCTAAATCTGATGGCTAAAGCACTCTTTCCAGGACGGTGCTTGGAACACCTCTGCCCATGTGGGCCTCAGAGACTCTTCCTTTACTAGGTTTTCATTGCTGACCCCTCTTCCGGTTGACACATTGTTTATTTAAATGTTAATATTTTCAACTAGGTTATAGCCAAGACCTGCTGGCAGGAAGCCATTTCTTCTCTTCAAGGTGACTTTGTATACTCTGAGACACTGATACATTACTCGCTAAAATAAAAATCTTTTTTTTTTTGGTGGCTGGCCAGTACAGGGATCCAAACCCTGAACCTTGGTGTTGTAACACCACAGTCTAATCAACTGAGCTAACCAGCCAGCCACAAATCTTGTACTCTTAGAAGGAAAGTTTGTATATATTTTTCTAAGTTCTGAGGGAAGACATAATCTTTTTTCCCAGGTGTCACAGCCCCCTGTACCTCACTAGCCACTCCTTCGGTCTCCTTTGCTGGGTTCATTAACATTAGAGTTCTGGGGGCTCCATCCTGGGCCCTTCCTTTCTACGCACTTTCTTCTTGCTCACCTCTGGCAGTCCCACGACTTTAATATCATCTATATGCTAATAATTCTCATATTTATATCTCCAGTCCAGACCTTTCATCAAGCCCAAACTCAAAATCTCTATCTGCCTCTTCAACATCACAAGAATATCTAATACGCATATCAATCTGGGGCAGCTAGAATTCCCAAGCCAGTAGCCTCCAGCCTGAAGTAGACACCTCCCTTTACCACAATGTTGTTTCAAATGATTCTGTGCCATGATGTGAAAAAAGGCTGAGAAGCACTGATCTGTGGAAGCTCCCTAACTGGCTCTGACCACAGCCTGCCTCCAACACCAGTTTTATTTCTGCTCCAAAACAACCCGTCCACCTGGAATGAGCTGTTGCTTCATCTTTGCCTGGGAAGCTTTTACCCCTTCCTTTAAGATTAAATTCAGGTATCACTTTTTTCCTGGGAAGTTTTCCTGGGCTTTCATGTCAGGTTAGATACTTCCTCATGCTCTCAAAATATTTTGTTTCATTAACCATCACTTATCTGTCAGTTTTGACAGCAGAACTGCCTTGCTTATCTTGCATCCTCAGCTGCCACCAGCACAGAACCTTTGTAGACACCATACATGTTAAATCAATGAGAATGATGCAAGAAGACAATAGAGGGCCAGGTTCACCTTCTCCTGCCTAGAGTTTAGGGAATTTCATGGTTATATAGCTGAAGAGGAAGCTTCCAGAAAGTGGTTACATAACAAGACTAACAAAGAAAAAAAGGCCTTCAGATTTGGTCCACTGAAGTCTCTGAGCTCAGATTTAAACGTGATGGAAATTAGGATTGAAAGAACTGAGGATGAGGAAAAAAACAGGGAAGATAGAATATCCTTATCTGAGATGTCTGGTTGTAAAGAACAGAAGAATGAACATTTATTCTGTCCCAATTTACTTGTTTTAACTTTGGCAATTCTGTAAGACATTTATATGAGGGGTCTTCCAAAAGTTCATGAAAAGATTCATATGATCTTTTAATTCTATTTTTCCATGAACTTTTTGAAGTACCCTCATGGTTCCAAACAAAAACCACACAGTATACTCAGAGAAACCTAACTTCCCTCCATATCTCCTCCCTCCTCCCAGTAGTATCAATTTCCATTCATTTTTGGTTTATCTTTCCATTTTTAAATATTAGCAAATACATGTATGTGCCACCTCTCAGATAGGTTGGCACGTTATACATATACACTATACACTGTATTTTCTTTACATAATATAACCTGGAGATCTCTCAACAGGATGTAGTGATCTTTCTCATTCTTTTTTACAGATGCACAGTACTCTATTGTGTAGATTTACCAGTTTACTCAACCAGTCCCTTATTGACGGATATGAGTTGTTTCCAATCTAGTGTTTTTACAAATAGTGCTGCAATGAATAGCTTTGTGCATTACTTCATTTTTTTCCAACTGAAACGTAATTGACTGTACATATCTGTTACTTCATATTTTTTGCTAGCATATCTTCAGGGACTTTACTTCTGCTCTCACTTCAATACAATAATCCTCTGCCATAGACACTGGGTACCCATCTTATAAACTAGAAGATAAATTAGCTCTGTGTAAGGACACAATTGCTCTAGTGCACAGCTGAATCCATCAACTGCAACAACACATTACAGAATAAGCCTGTAAAATGTGGAGTAAACACTCTTGCACCTACCTTACCATTCCTCTCCCAACGCCCTGCCATCTCTTCTTAGAGAAAGAGAAAAGTTACTTTGCTAAGGAAAACACCATAAAGAATAAACAAGGAGTTTAGTTTTATTTGCTCTGTATATTTGCAAAACACTTAGGACCAACGACAAGGAAAAAAAAAGCAAAACCTCCTGTGAAGAAAATTACATAAAAAAGGGGGATAGGCGCTGAGAGGAAATAGTGCCCTAGCCCCAAGGAGCTACAGCAACCCTCATTGGTCCAAGAAATGGAAAAGATACTGGGAAGATATAACAGGAAGAAGAATGAGAATTTACTGAGGGAGAGGACCCCGAAGTGGGCCACGAGGGGGAACCGGAGGCCGGGGAGTGGGTCTGGGTGGAGGAAGGGGCCCCCGCTGGTAGCCATAGGGTGGGGGTCGTGGAGGGCCAGTGTATCCATGAGGGGGCATCAGCGGAGGAGGTCCACGCATACCATGTGGAGGCATAGGACCTGGGTGACCTGCAAGAAAAGAAAGAAAAGTTAGAAAAAGTGAAAAACAGGAGAGAGTTGATGTTGGGAGATGATAGGGAGACAGTAAGAAATATAAAGAAATGTAAAGATGTAAAAGAAAGAGCATAGGACAAGGGCTGTGACAAAGGAAGCTATAAGAATATGATATGTGAGAATGAGGGAGTTGGCTAAAGCCTACTCACCCATGGGAGATCCAAACGGAGGCCCTCGGGGGGGCATGCCCATTGGAGGAGGTCCAGGATGAGGCATTCCAGGTGGTGGTCGTGGTGGTGGCTGCCCCCCAGAGCCTGGGGGCCCAGCATGGGGGTGTCCCAAGCCATGAGGGCCATGGTGGGCCAGTTGCATCTGAGACATTCCTATGAAAATAAGACAGACACAAGGAGAAAGGAGACAAAAGGAAAGTAGGGAAAAAGGTAAAGAAAATGGAGAAAGGAAAAGAGCAAAATGAGAAAGTGACATCAGAAAGAGAAGGGTATGAAAAATAAGTCTGGTAAAAAGTGCCCCTATCCATGACCTCATTCCAACAGTACAAACCAACCAACCACTCAATCCACTCCTCCCTTATTCACTTCACTTGCTCCTTGCACAATCTAGGCACTGTAATAGTGATGCAAAAGTTTTAACAAGTAGAGTGATTACCCTGTTGATATGATTTGGGAAGGTGGCAGACATACTGTCTGAGCAAAGATCTAATTCTAAACGATGAATAAGAATTTTTCAGGATAACGGAATGGGAATAGACCATCCCAGGCAGAAAGATTAGCATGTGCAAATCATAGATGTGTCAAACAGTACAGTATGTTCCAGGAAATACCAGTAACTCAGTAATCAGGAGCAACAGGCAGTTATGGGAGTGATGGGCAAGGGCCAGATCATGAAAAGCCTTGAATGCTATGGTAACAAGTTTGGGTTTTACTCTGTAGTTAAAAGGGAACAACAGAAGAATTCTGAACAAGGGTATGTGAACATCTATGTTTTAGAAAAATTACTCTGTTGGGCTAGCCTGTGGCTCACTTGGGAGAGTGTGGTGCTGACAACACCAAATAAAGGGATCCCCTTACTGGTCATCTTTAAAAAAAAAAAAAGAAAGAAAGAAAAATTAGTCTGTGATAACAGATCAAAGGTACAGAAAACTGATGTCAAAGTGACAGGAGATTACTACAATAAATTAAATGTGAAATAATGAGGGAATGGCAGTGGGGACAGATGTCAGAGATATTAATAAAACTTGGTATTAAGAGTGGGGTGATAGGGAATAGTCAAATATAGCTCACAGATTTATGACTTAAGCACCTAAAAACAGAGAATACTAGAAGAAGAATAGGTTTAAAAGGGAGGGGTAGAAAAGTGGAGCTGTCCACTAAGCAGTAGGATTAAGGGTCTGGATTGTTAACAACCATGGACTAGAGATACAGATCCAGGAGGCATCAGTGTATATGTAATTAAAACTATGGATATATGCAGAAAAGAGAATCAAGCACAAAAATCTAGGCACAAGAAGTGAAAAAGCTGATCAAAGTGGCTGAGATTAAGGAGTCCAAGACAGGTGGAAGATCCAGAAAACCAGAAACAAAAAGAGACAAGAATTTCAAACAGGTAGACATGGGTAGTTTCAAGTACAGCAGAGGTCAAACCAAGTAAGAAGCAGAAGTGTCCCCTAGATTTGGCAATTAGGTCACTGCTTTGCAGTGGAATCAGAGGAGAGAATAGAAGTAAAAGTCAAGGAGACAAAAAATAGCAAGTATAGACCACTCTTGAGAAAAATTTAAATAAAAAATGGAGAAGGTGGTAGTTGTTAAAGTAAACAGAATAAAGTATTTTAAGTTTGTTTTTATAAAAGAATGTCTGAAGAAAATGAGAGCTCTGTGACTGTTACTGTTGAGAAACAAAGGGCAGCAGGATGAGTGGTGATAGAGCCCTCCACCAAGCTCATCCCTCCCATTACCAGCAAAGAACACCTACCTGGATGGGGCATCCCACCTGGTGGGAACGGGTGAGGATGTGAGTGTCCATGACCAGGATGTCCAGTCCCTGGGGTTCCTGCTGATGGGGGGCCATGTCCTCCAGCCCCGGGAGGCATAGGTGGAGGGGGCATGGCTGGGGGTATACCAGGAGGGAGGGCTCCAGGAGGCGGCACTGGGGGTGGGAAGGAGCCAGGAGGAGGCATGCCTATACAAGAAATGGAAGAAGGAAAAGTTCATGGTAATGAAGAGAGAATATCGTTAAAGAGCCTGTCCCAGTCTATCCTCTCCAGGCAGGGTAAGCTTCTCCCACCCTCTAAAGTTAAAAACAATGTTACACAATTCAAACAAATTCAGCTTCCTGGAGAAACCCAACGACTTCCTTCAGCACTACCATCGCCCACCCCCAATTCTCTTCTCATCACCCGCTGCTGAGTAACTCAATGTCCCCCCTTTTCATGTTCTTTTCTCTTCTTCCTGCCCCTTCCACCACCCAACCCCAAGACAGACATATTTTGAATGAAAAACTCTACCTGGTGGAGGAAGCCCAGACCCCAATGATGATACCACAGGATTGGGGGCAGAGGGTGGAGGAGGTGCATCTGCAAACAGCTGATGTGGGCGGTCAGCCTGGGAGAGTGGGTTCTGGGCTGCCAGAAGCCGTTCGGCTGCTGAGCCATGGCGCTCACCCTTGGAGTCCTTCTTGAAGGCGTAAGACACAGTGATAGGGCGGTTACAGAGGTACTGCCCATTCATGGCCTCAATTGCTGCATCCGAAGCATCAAACGAAGCAAAATTAATAAAGGCATATCCCTTGGAGTTGCCTGTGTCAGGGTCCCGCATAATCTTAGGGGTTTGTAAGATGACGCCAAAGGCGCTAAAAGTATCATAAAGCAGCTTCTCATCAATTTCAGGGTCCAGGTTCCCAATGAAAATGTTGGCCCCTACATCCAGGTTTTTATTATGAGCTGATGCCTTGTTCACCCGTATTGGCTTCCCATAGAGTTTGATCATGTTCATGATCTTAATGGCATAGTCAGCATCTTCCTCACTCAAGAATTCAACAAAGCCATAGCCTGGGGAAGTGAAGAAGAGGAGGTTAAGTGAAGAGATTCAAAATGGGGTATAACTCACCCACCCTCTAATCACAAAGAAAAAGAAATAATAACCTCACTTCATTTGAGAATGGTTCCAGAAACAAACAGTGAACTAAGACGTAAGAGAGAAATCTTTAGATTGCTCATTCCAAAACAGTCACGGATACTGTTGGGAGCCTCCAGGAGTAGTTTGCCTCAATATATAAATCCTGCCTTGTACTCACCTTGGTGCTGGCCAGTGACTCTATCCTTTGGCATGTGGGTGTTGACTACTGGTCCTGCCTGGAGAAACAGTTCCCACAGCAGTGGTTCGCTAACCTTCTCATCCAGCCCCCCCACGTACACGGTGGCATCTGGAGGAGGACGCAGGAGATTAGGGCAGGGGTGAGATTATGACAGGAGAGAAGGAGGTGACGGGAACATGACGATGGAACCCAGGCGGGCGAGTTGGGGGTAGGGATGGGGGCAGGAGCCAAAAGAAAAAGACGTTAGATTAAGTCCTTAAACCTCCCTCTTCCCAGGACCTAGAGAATCTTCTGAAGTCCAATTTAGAGTTCTGCTGCAAATTGTGTGTCTCGGTGGAATTTTTTTTTTTTTTTAACTGGGAAGGCAGCAGGGGATTGGACATAGAAGCATCACACCTACAGGCCTCAGCCTGCACCCGGCCACCTCGACCCCAGCAGGCACCGGGGCTGGTCTCGCGCCCTCCGGGGGGAGTTCCAATCTTCCGCCCTGGCGGCGTCTCTCCTGGCCCTAGTCAAGGCCTCCCAGACCCCCTGGGCTCATTCCGGATTCGTCCCCTCCAGTTACCCTGGTTCCGCTCGGAGATGGGCCCGGCAGCCATGGCGAATGAACTCCCGCCGTCTCCAAGCAGCGGCTCCGCCTCCTGGCCTCGCTCACTACTTCCACTTCCGGGGCGAAGGCGGGCTGCCGGTGGGCGGAGCCACGCGGAGGAGGAGTCGGAGGTGGCCGCGGCCATCTTAGGAGCCGCTGAATTTTGCCGCGGCTCAAGCCGCAGAGTACTTGGGACTTTGTTCTTTCCCCGAGGTTCTAGTGCGAGCGGTTATGGTGAAGAGGGCAGGACGGAAACGCTCAGACCTTCTGAAAGCAGTGCTAGACGCCAAAGAATTACACTGCTCCCAAACGTATATTCGAAAGCTAAAAGAACAAAACTTTATAGCCGAGTGATCCTTTTGTTACTGTGCTGAGGAACCCCCGACCCAAGGATTCGGCTGCCTTCGAGCGCGGAGGCAACCCTCCATCCCGGCCTGCAGCCTTCGTACAGATTTGACCTCACAGCCCTGGCCTGGGCTCGAGGTATTTCATTTTCCCTCAGGAGAGGAGACTGCGGAATGTCTGAGCTGGAGTGACGTCTGAGCTTGCTCAGTAGTTATTGCATAGGGGCTTGAGGGGATCTGAGGCTCCGAGGTGGGCTGTGACCAAAGCTGCGAGGTGGCTGGGACTGAAGCCAAGAGACCTCAGTCTCAGGCTCCAGAACACACTCCGGCCCCAACAACAACAACATCTTGATGTCCTCTTGCCCCATCTAACTTTTAACGGGAGAGAGAAAAAGAGAACCCTTTACCCACATTGCATGTGAATTGTGCAGAGCCTCATCTGACCCAATTCCCTTATTTCCTTAGCAATAATATGGTGGGTGCCTTTCGCTCTTGAGTCACACCCACCCCCCACCCACCACTCGTTGCTACCTAAGATCCTTTATTCAAACACAAGAAACAATGCCAACAAGGTGTATAAATATTGTGCTTTAATGAGCTCCTTAAATAGAAATGCCACTACAAAAATATACAGTTAGAATTCTGAGACAGGGTGTCTCCCATATCCACCTCATTCCCATAGAAGACTATAAGGGAAGAAATAAAAATTGGAGTTAAGCAGCAAAGAGGGGGTGAGAATGAGGTCTTTAGGCCCCCTTGTTGGGACTGCTGAACAGCGAATCTGATCTCACAATTTAACAGCAGGTTACCCAAAAGGGACAGAATTGCCCTTAAAAAAAAAAAAAGCGATTACATTCTGGATTGTTTTTGTTTCTCAGTTCTGTCTGTTTGCTTTTTGGTGGCTGGCCAGTAAGGGGATCTGAACCCTTGACCTTGTGTTAAAGGCAGTGCTCTAACCAACTGAGCTAACCCTCTGCCGCTTAATTCTTCAAATCACAGGAAAAAAAAATATATCTTCAGGAACCTAACAAGACAGGAAGAGTTGGAGAAGATTAGCACCACTATCTGCAATGGAAACTGAAGTCTCCTAAGTGAACTTGTTTAAGGGCTGGAGTATGAAAGCTGAGGGAGCAAGGCCAGATATGAAAAATAGAATTAGAACCCTCCCTCATCCCAGATCTCCCTCCACCCTGCCTTCGTGAATGCCAGCAATTTCAACGGGATTGGGAGAGAATGGTATTTGAATCTCTTTTCTTGGAGTGATCCTCAGGAGATATTCTTGGTGTCCATTTCCTTAATAGCTCCTGAAGATGGGATAGCTCATCCTGGAGGCCAGAGACTGTGGGAGCTGAGAGGCCCATCTGGAAAGGGGGCAAAGAGGGGCAGAGAGGAATATTATTGCAGCTCTAGCCCTCTGCTTCTAAGATCTATTCGCTACTTCTGGTGTCTTTAATTCTCTTTCCCTAACTATGCCCTAAATTACACTTAATCTAAACTCCAAGTAGTTCCTCCCGTCCCCCGCCTTTGTACGCCCAAGCCTTCCCAGTTTGATATCAACAGGAATGGTACTTCACTTCACAGTACCCCCAGCCCCTTGCCTTTCTAGCTCCTGTTCATCAGGTCCAGCAGTCAAGCCCTTTCTCCCACTCCCAATCCCTGTTTTCCTTTCTCACCTGGACCTCAAGCCTTCCCCTCAGGTAGCAGCGTCTCCAGAGCCTGATCTGGGGTCCCAGATATCCAGGCAGCAGCAGCCCTGGAGGTAAAGGGCAAGCTCCCCAATGTGAGGGAAGCCCCCACTCCTGGTCAGCCAGACTTTCAGAGGAGATAGCAGGTCGAGGGAGCCAACGAGAAGAGACTGCCAGGAGGGAGTGACTATCTCGCCAAGGACAGAGCTGATTCAGTGGGGTCAGGGCCCCTCTAGAGAAGAGCCACACAGAACTGGGGGGTCCAGGAACCATGAAGCTTGGCTAAAGGTGAAAGGGAAACCAACTGGTAACTGAGAAACGAGATAACCCCAATTTCCCACATCTGGGTCAGGAAGGGGTGTCCAGCTGCCACCCACTCATTGCCCTAGTGACTAAAACTACAAGCCTCATTCTCAGAACTCTTCTGCTCTCATTAGGCTTCACCTAATCAGTCTCAGGACTGATTAAAGTTGATTTTAAGGAAACTTGCAAAATGAGACAGGAAAACTAATAAACAGAAATGAGGAAGACAAAAAGGATGCCCTCTGTGGTAGTCTAGGACTTCAGTCTTCCTGGGGATAGGGACTACTAGTGACAGCTGCAGAAGATGGGTGGGGTAGTTTACCCTGATGAACTCACTGTCTTTCTACCTCTCCCCATCTAGTAGCATGAGCCTGTAGGAAAGTTAAGGCAATTTAGGAAGTTTAGACACCTCACCTGCTGTTTAGGGAGCCAGGAGCCTGGGCAGTACTCTGGATCATAGCCAGGATTATGGAACTGTAGTATCTGTTCATTGCTGTAGCGTAAATCCCAGTCCCAGACAGACAGCTGTAGGTTAACAGAGTTCCCAGCTGAGGGCTGCGAGTACTCTGGAGTGTAGACTTGTGTATAGGAGTTGAACTGGACAGAGGAAGCAAGAAAATGGATGGTTACACACACGCAAAAATATAATCCTCCCAGATCTAGAGACAAAAGCATAAAACTCACCTCTTATTCCAGGAACCAGATGTAGGGCAAAAGTCTAGTCCTGCGAGTGAGTGTCAACCCCCCCCCCCCCCCGCACTGCCCCCCAAACTCCAATCTCACTTCCTATAAAACAAATCAAGACTAAACTTCAGAAAGTATTTCTCAGGGGCCGGCCTGTGGCTCACTCGGTAGAGTGCGGTGCTGATAACACCAAGTCCACGGGTTCAGATCCCTATATAGGGAT